GGGGGGGGGGGACACCCCAGCAGGTGACACGGAGGGAAAAATCAGCCTTGGGAAAGAGCTTTCCGCTCAAAGATTCCTCGGTAAAAATTAAAAAACCAAAAATGATTCAAACATGAAGGTTTTAACCCAACCTGGTGTCCCCTCGGCGCCAGCTGGAAGGTGCAAACCTGCTGCTGGTTCCCCTCTGGGCCGCGAGTCCCTCCTGCAGCTCCGGCAGGCTGTCAGCGGAACTTCTCCTGCTAAAACATCCCACCGGGAAAAAAATATCCCCGTTCCGCCGGGGTTCACCATCAAACCCCGGCAGGCGCAGGAGGACGCGCTGCCCGGACACAGGGCCACAGGGCTGGGCCACCGCCTGCCCGGCCGTGCTTGCCAGCGGGGCCTGCAACCGAGAGGGCTTCGTTAAAATCGCTAACGAGAGGGCCTGGAGCAAAGATTTTCAGCAGCGAGGCCCGCAGCGTTTTTCCTGAGCTCCTGCAGTTTAAGCTGAGGATTTAAACTGAGGATTTAAGTCCTCCAGGACTAGGAAAGGCTTCTGGGACGGGGCACAAGCTGGGCACGGGGCCCTGCACCCCTCCAGCACCCGTGAGGGGTGTCTGGCGGGGGGCTCGTGCGCGGCTACGTGACTCGGTGTGATTTCTGCAGACGCCGTCTGTGCCGGCTCCGAATGCAAAAGCAAAAAAATCTGGTCGAACCGGGGCCGTGGGCAGGTGGGTGCGTGTTCCCTGTCAGCAGGTGTTGCAAGAAGGTGGCACCAGCACCCACAAGCTGGAGGACAGAGGAAGCACCTGGCGGAGCTGGCTGGGTTTATATGCAAGAGTTTTTTCCTTCTGGCCCCCCCTATTTTTTTCCCCACGCCCTGTGGGTGCTGGGTGGCACCCAGCAGTGCCCTGTGATGAAGACGATGGTCCCCAGCGCCCCTGCCTTGCCGCCCGCAGGGGTAGGGGTGTCATCCGGCAGCAAGACCTGGAGGGGATTGGAACAGAGCTACGGTGGGTGCTTCAGGGATGCGGCGTCCGCACGGGGATGGAGCAGCTGCACCAGTATTTACAGAATCCCAGAATCACCTCGGTTGGAAAAGCCCTCGCAGCTCCTCCAGTCCAACCATGACCCTCACCCTGACCGTTCCCAACTCCCCCAGATCCCTCAGCGCTGGCTCAGCCCGACTCTTCAACCCCTCCAGGGATCCCGGGGACTCCCCCCTGCCCTGGGCAGCCCATTCCAACGCCCAACAGCCCCTTCTGCACAGAAATCCTTCCTCAGAGCCAGCCTGACCCTGCCCTGGGCAGCTTGAGGCCATTCCCTCGGGGCCTGGCGCTGGGGCCTTGGCTCCAGAGACTCATCCCCCCTCTCTGCCCCCTCCTGGCAGGGAGTTGCAGAGGGCCAGGAGGTCTCCCCTCAGCCTCCTCTTCTCCAGACTGAACCCCCCCAGTTCCCCCAGCCGCTCCCCAGCAGACCTGTGCTCCAGACCCTGCACCAGCTCCGTTGCCCTTCTCTGGCCACGCTCGAGTCATTCAATGGCCTTTTTGGGGTGAGGGGCCCAAAACTGAACCCAGGAATCGAGGGGCGGCCCTTACCTCTCTCCTCCTGCAATTTCCTTGCCGCATTCGTGGCAATCCTGTGAGAAAAGAGGTGACAGTGAGGATGGGCAGCCACAACGCCCCAGTGGGGTGCACAGCACCCTCAGACCTCCCGTCCCTTGCCCACTGGGTTTTTGCTTTGCAGGTGCCTCCACCAAGGAGCTGCTCCAACCCCTTGGTCCACCCCTGGGTGTCACTGCCTGGCAGCAGTGTCACAGCCCAGGAACCACAGGGTGCCCTCCTGCTCCTCACCCAGTCCTGCACCTACCCCGTCCCCAAGGAGTGTCCCCAGAAGAGGATGCTGCTGTTCCCACTCCGCGCTTTGGCCCAGTCGTAGAGTGCCAGGACGTCCGTGGTGAAGCCACTCTCCGTGGGGTGCCCGCTGGAGTCCCCGTAGCCTGTGGGGGACATGGGGGACATGGCTCAGTGTCACAACCCGGTGAGGGCGGGGGGGCACCAGCCCTGGGCAAGGGGTGGGGAGGTCACTCAGCGAGAGGCAGGGGGATGATTTTACCTCTGTAATCGAGAGCCAGGATGTGGAAGTCAGCAGCCCCCATCGTCTGTCAGAGGAGCCACACCGAGTTATGTGCTGGGGTGGGGGGATTCACCCCCCGGTCCCCCAGCATGGCTGGGTTCACTCTGCCTGGGGTCCCCCTTGGGTCCCCAGAGCCAGTGTGAGCCTCACTCCCAGTAGGTCCCAGTTCCCCCCACTGGGAACCACTTACCTTCAAGAACTGGACGCGGTGGCTCGCACCCCTGACGGAGAAAGGAAAATTAGAGCCTGGGGAGGGGTCTCCATCCCGCCACGAGGGCAGAGCCAGCTTGGGGGACCCTCCCCTCCGGTGCAGATCCAGGTGAGGGACTGGGGTGAACTTTTTCCAGAAGGGGAGAGCTGGATGCTCAGGGGTGGGTGGGGTTTTAACATTTCCCTTTAACTCCCAAGGGACTTCCCTCCACCCGTGGGGTCAGAAACAGCTGCAGCAGCCCCGGCCCTGCAGCACTGCCGGCTGCTACACCGAGTTTGTTAGGTCTCACCCACCCCAGGTGGAGATGCGAAAGCAGCTGCCACCGCACCCATCCTCCCGTGGGAGAGGCACCCGCCTGCCGTCCCGGGCACTCGCCTGGTCCCCCCGTTGCCGTGCAGGTAGATGATCACGGGGTGAGCGTCAGCAAGCGCCTCCTCGTACCAGCGCTGGTCCTTGCCCTGCGCCTCGGCCCCTCTGCTGCCCGGCACCGTGTGCCTGGGGAGGAAGGGGTCAGAGCGGGGTTACCCCGAGGGGGCTACACCCGGCTTAGCCAGGCTGGGCCCACCCAGGACGTCGGGGTTGTCCCACTCACCAGATGCCGACTGTGACGCCCGGTTCGGTGGCGAGGTACAGGCTGACGGTGTTGTTCAGCAGCAGCTCTGGCCGCCGAAGGTCCACAAAGAAGGGGAAGGCCACTGATGGAGAAATCACACCAAAACCCCTCACACCCAGCTGCTTTTATACATTTTTTTTTTCCAAAGCAACGTGTTATTGTTTTTCAATTATTTGCTCGGAAGCCAAGAGCCGTGCCTCAGCCAGCTCGGGGAAGGGGTAGGTGAGTGCAGCCCTCTGCCACCTCCTCTCACCCAGATTTCTCGCCCCGTCGACGCCACGTATGCCCAGATGTGTTGCAACTTTAGGCAGTAAACAGGGTCGGCAACACTGGGTTATTACAGCTTGCAAAACATGCAGCACCAACGGGAAAGGGCTCTCCGTGCCTCCTCCGCAAGGCCACGGCGAGGTGGGGGGCTGGGGTTGATGGGTGCTGTGCTGGTGTCACTCAGGTGCTGGGGACGTTTTGGGGGACCTCCCTCCCCCCAGCCTCCCTGCCTGCTGAATCCCTGGAGATGGGGGCTCTCCCAGTTGAGACAGGGCTGAGGCACTCACAGAAGTTCAGGAAGACAAATTTGGTGAGCAGGACTGGGAAGAGGCGGATGAGGAAGGGCACAGAGATGTAGATGAGGAGCAGGTGCACGAGGAGGGTGCGCAGCCAGGGCCGCCAAGCCAGCCAGCCCCTGCAAGGAAAGCCCCTCATTAGCACATCCCCCCCTGCCCCAGGGGCTTTGGGGCACAGCAGAACAGGGTCCCCGTTCCCAACCCGAGTTGTGACGGTTGGATACAGCAGCTTTTCCTCTCCACAAGGGCCTGATGCTGCCGTTTGTGTCCCCTCAGGACCGGGAGGTGGTTGCCCACAATGGGGTTGTGTTTGACTTTTGGGGATGGAGCCACAGGGTTGGAACATCCCCATGGTGTCATGGTGTGATGAGAACCCACGATCTGGTCTCCCACAGGATGCTGGCAGGCGGGAAGGGCAGGGACACGTGCCCAGGGACCGGGAGCTGCAAGCCAAACCGGCACTAAGGAGCAACCGATACTGCGACAACACCCCGAGCCGTGGCTGGTGAGACACAGGCACGGAGGTGTCCCCAAACCCAGCACCCAGAGCCTCTGCAATTCTCCAGGGACAAGGAGGAAAGCTGGCAAAGGGGCTCAGGGCACAGCAGCACAGGAGAAACCAGTCCCCAGAGCGATGTCCCCCAGTGCCACCAGCACTGGGGAGTGTGACCTCCAACCCAGAGGGCTGGGAGCCACATCCAGCCCCCTGGGCCATGCAGGAAGGGCCACATCCAGCCTCCAAGTGGGAAGGGAAAGCCAAGAGCTGCAGATTGCCTGGCACCGACATCGCTCGTGGGCTGACAGTGCTGGGTGATACTGGTCTGGGCACTGGGGGATTTAGGGTTTTCTGCCAGGCAGCCAAGCACAGCTCAGTGCCTGCCAACGCGTGCCTGGGGTCACCGTCACTCCCACAGAAGCGGATTTAATCCATCGCCTGCCCCGGAGAGTGCTGAGAAAGGATTGCAAAGGGGGTGTTAGGGCAAGGTGGCACAGTCCCCCGGGCACAGTCCCCCTTCCCAGGAGGGTGCAGGGTGGCATGAGCTGTGCTGGAGCCACGGGGAGCTCCCCGAAGCCCAGTCACCCCCCGAGACATTGGTGTGAGCAGTCCCGCTGTAGGCTGGGCCAGCAACGGCCTCGCACTCGCCGTGGCTAGTTATTAGGTGCTGCTCTTGGCCTACACCTCGTGTTCAAGTGCAGGGGCGAGTGCTCACACCCATCCTTGCACAACACCTGTTGCAGCGGGCCCAGACTGGGGTGGGGGGGACACACGTGCCCAGCAAGGGGCATCACTGGCAGCCACCGCATGGCTTCAGGGGGACGGCAAGGTGACACGAGATGGTATCGTGACATGGCCGGGGGGGTATGGCCGCAGTGTGGGATCACGGCTGTGGCAGGGTGACCTGGGGACACGGCTGTGGTACGGGATCACGGCTGTGGCGGGCTGGCACAGCCATGGCTGGGGG